TAGTGACCCCCCTGCTTTTTTTGGGGGGATGTGCACGTCTGCCGAGTCTTTTGCTTTGTATGAGTGTTTTGTGTGCAAGTTGGGTACTAGTCCTCTAGGATTTTCCAAGTGTTTTAAATCATTATCTCTCCCGCTTGGTTCCGGGGAATACAGGTTTGGAACCCTCAAGCGCCCAGTAATCGAGGTGTTTTATCCCCTTTTTATGCGGCCGTAAAGGTTCTCTGACATTTTCTAGGTCAGCAATTTCACCTGCTTGAAAGGTGCTGTTGTGTGCAGTAAATATTCCCGCTGAAAGTCCAAACCCTTTGCCCACAAAAACCCCCTTACCCCTTTCCCTTTCCCAAACCCTTTTTTAGGACGACCCCCACCCCCCCTTCTTTTCCTACGATTTAAATGTCTCTTGTCAATCTATTTTTATCCATTCTCTCAAATGACCAAACCACCTCAACAACCCTCTTCAGCCCTCTGACTAATACTTTTATTAACTCCACACCCTTTTCCCAATTTCCACACTCCGAATTTTCTGCATAAAATTTACACACACTTGCCCTTTGCAGGACATCTCCCCTGCCTCCCCGCTGCTGCTTTTAAACCCAAGCTTCACACCCCTTTAAAAGTGTTGGGGGTTTCTATACTTTCATACATTTCCCCCCTTTGCCTCCCAGATAACGTTTTTTGACCCACATATACCTCAACGCCCCATCTCCTTTTTTCCTTCATCAATTTTTTTATTAACCCCATCCTTCATAAATCCATCCCCCCAAAAAACGCAACTCCCAAGTACATATCTGAAAAAATTACTTCTTCCATATCCTCCTCCCAAATTTTATTTTATATGTACTCTGAAAAATTTTTCTTTTGTATACCCGTACTAAATAAACTTAATCCTGTGCTAGGTGCAGGTTTTCTATTAAAATAGTAAGTCTCTTATATCTGAGACATCATATTGTAAAGATAATAATAAACACCCAGTCTATTAAAAGTGTATATTACGTTATATCATTTTTTTTTTTTCACAAGTGGCCCCTCCCCCCGGGCAGGGGACCAAAAAAGAAAGAAAATCCCCCAAAAAAAAAATACTTTCATCATCTTCAACACTTTTACCAACTCGAATTATCATGTTTTGCAGGGTGCTCGAAAACAAAAAAAGGGCTAGAAGCATCCATATAAAGTTTTCACAACTATCCCTCCAAAATGCCCAAATTTCCCAAACCCTCCTTTAAAATGCAGGCTTTTACTTCCATTTCCAGGACTCAAATCCGATATATGAAAAATAACCGGGTTTCCCCAACCCTTTACAAATATTTCCCTGCTCCCCCTCCAAGATCGTCGGTCCCAAATACCCTTCGCTCCTTTCTCCCATCTAAAAAGCCCGCCGCTTGCTGGTCCGCCCCTTTCCACAAAATCCTTTACCCCCTTTTCCCCCCCCGGGGGCCCTACCCCGCCCCCATTTTGTTTTTCCCAGTATTTTCTTTTTTAATTTTTCAAATCCAAACCCCTAAAAACCCTTTCCCCTTGTTCTTTTTTTCCCAACTTTTCCAATTTAACCCAATTTTCTGATAATATTTACCCACACATTGCCCTTAACAGGACATCTCCACTGCCTCCAACCGTCTCCTCGCTGCTGCATTTACCACCCAAGCTTCACACCCATATAAGAGTGTTGGTACTACTATACTTTCATACATTCCCTTCTTTGCCTCCATAGATAACGTTTTTTGACTCCACATATACCTCAACGCACCACTCACCTTTTTTCCCTCATCAATTCTATGATTAACCTCATCCTTCATAAATCCATCCGCCGACACGTCAACTCCCAAGTATTGAAAACATTCACTTCTTCCATACTCCTCCTCCCCAATTTGATATCCAATTTTTCTTTATCTAAATCATTTGACACCCTCATCACCTTACTCTTTTATATGTTCACTTTCAACTTTCTACCTTTACACACATTCCCAAACTCATCCACTAACCTTTGCAATTTTTCTTTAGAATTCCCATAAGCACAGTATCATCAGCAAAAAGTAAACTGTGTCAATTCCCATTTTGAATTTGATTCCCCAAAATTTAATCCCACCCCTCTCCCGAACACCCTAGCATTTACTTCCTTTACAACCCCATCTATAAATATATTAAACAACCATGGTGACATTACACATCCCTGTCTAAGACCTACTTTTACCGGGAAGTAGTCTCCCTCTCTTCTACACACCCTAACCTGAGCCTCACTATCCTCATAAAAACTCTTTACAGCATTTAATAACTTACCACCTATTCCATATACTTGCAACATCTGCCACATTGCTCCTCTATCCACTCTATCATATGCCTTTTCTAAATCATAAATGCAATAAAAACTTCCCTACCTTTATCTAAATACTGTTCACATATATGCTTCAATGTAAACACTTGATCTACACATCCCCTACCCACTCTGAAACCTCCTTGCTCATCCGCAATCCTCCATTCTGTCTTACCTCTAATTCTTTCAATTATAACCCTACGTACACTTTTCCTGGTATACTCAGTAAGCTTATTCCTCTATAATTTTTTACAGTCTCTTTTGTCCCCTTTCCCTTTATATAAAAGGACTATACATGCTCTCCGCAATCCTAGGTACCTTCCCTTCTTTCATACATTTATTAAACAGAAGTACCAACCACTCGAACACTATATCCCCCCCTGCTTTTAACATTTCTGTCATGATCCCATCAGTTCCAGCTGCTTTACCCCCTTTCATTTTACGTAATGCCTCACGTACCTCCCCCACACTTACATTCTTCTCTTCTTCACTCTAAAAGATGGTATACCTCCCTGACCAGTGCATGAAATTACTGCCTCTGTTTCTTCCTTAACATTTTAAAAGTTCCTCAAAATATTCTCGCCATCTACCTAATACCTCCATCTCCCCATCTACTAACTCCCCTACTCTGTTTTTAACTGACAAATCCATATTTTCCCTAGGCTTTCTTAACTTGTTTAACTCACTCCAAAATTTTTTCTTATTTTCATTAAAATTTCTTGACAGTGCCTCTCCCACTCTATCATCTGCTCTCCTTTTGCACTCTCTCACCACTCTCTTTACCTTTCTTTTACTCTCCATATACTCTGCTCTTCTTATAACACTTCTGCTTTGTAAAAACCTCTCATAAGCTACCTTTTTCTCTTTTATCACATCCTTTACTTCATCATTCCACCAATCACTCCTCTTTCCTCCTGCCCCCCCTCCTATAACCACAAACTTCTGCCCCACATTCTAATACTGCATTTTTAAAAAACTATTCCAACCCTCTTCAACCCCCCCACTACTCATCTTTGCACTAGCCCACCTTTCTGCCAATAGTCGCTTATATCTCACCCGAACTTCCTCCTCCCTTAGTTTATACACTTTCACCTCCCTCTTACTTGTTGTTGCCACCTTCCTCTTTTCCCATCTACCTCTTACTCTAACTGTAGCTACAACTAAATAATGATCCAATATATCAGTTGCCCCTCTATAAACATGTACATCCTGGAGCCTACCCATCAACCTTTTATCCACCAATACATAATCTAATAAACTACTTTCATTACGTGCTACATCATACCTTGTATATTTATTTATCCTCTTTTTCATAAAATATGTATTACTTATTACCAAATTTCTTTCTACACATAGCTCAATTAAAGGCTCCCCATTTACATTTACCCCTGGCACCCCAAATTTACCTACTACTCCCTCCATAACATTTTTACCCACTTTAGCATTGAAATCCCCAACCACCATTACTCTCACACTTGATTCAAAACTCCCCATGCATTCACTCAACATTTCTCAAAATATCTCTCTCTCCTCTACACTTCTCTCTTCTCCAGGTGCATACACGCTTTATTTTACTCCACATAATCCTTGAATTAATACATTTATAGTCCCTCTTTTCCTGCCATAGCTTATCCTTCAACATTATTGCTACTCCTTCTTTAGCTCTAACTCTATTTGAAACCCCTGACCTAATCCCATTTATTCCTCTCCACTGAAACTCTCCCACCCCCTTCAGCTTTGTTTCACTTAAAGCCAGGACATCCAGCTTCTTCTCATTCATAACATCCACAGTCATCTCTTTCTTATCATCTGCACAACATCCACGCACATTCAGACTTCCCACTTTGACAATTTTCTTCTTCTTATTCTTTTTAGTAATCTTTACAGGAAAAGGGGTTACTAGCCCATTGTTCCCGGCATTTTAGTTGACTTTTACAACACGCATGGCTTACGGAGGAAAGATTCTTATTCCACTTCCCCATGGATATAAAAGGAAAATTAATAAGACCAAGAACTATTAAGATAAAATCAAAGAAAAACTCAGATGAGTGTGTATAAATAAATGTGTACATGTATGTGTAGTGTGACCTAAGTGTAAGTAGAAGTAGCAAGACATGCCTGTAATCTTGCATATTTATGAGACAGACAAAAGACATCAGCAATCCTACCATCATATAAAACAATCACAGGCTTTCGTTTTACACTCACTTGGCAGGACGGTAGTACCTCCCTGGGTGGTTGCGGTCTACCAACCTACTACCTATAAACTTGTTATCTAGTATTTGTATGCATTTATAAGGGGAAAAAAAAAGTGTTCCACTTTACGGCGATTTCTGCTTTACGGCGGTAGCCTGGAACCTAACCTGCCGTAGAAGTGGGGCGCTACTGTACTCCTTAGTGTTAAGTAGATTGTAAGCCAATAATGTTAAGTTGGCCCATAATGCCTAGGCATAATAGAGGCTCTCTTTGCACTGCAACCCACTACTGTAAATACAAAATCTCAATGTACTGTTTGCAAAGACATAAAATAAATAAATAAATATTAAATTATTTTCATGGAGTTGTTGCAACAATAGATTCCCACTTGTTTTGAAAATTATTACTAACTCATTATTCAAGTTTACAAGCTCTTTCTAAAAAAAAAAAAAAAAAAAAAAAAAAAAAAAAAAAAAAAAACAGAAGAGTGCAATACCTTTTGGTGAAGTTCCTTTACTTCTGTCTTCAGATGCTTTACTAATTCTGTTATTTTTTTACATTTTTCTGTCTTTGCCAAAAGTTCAACACTGTAAAAATTATAAATGTAGTATTAAATACACTAAAATGTTAGATTTTATAATATTACCTGTAATAAAGTCTGTATGTAATTAAACAAAGAGCATTATTTTTATAATATTGGAGAATCATTGCTGTGCCCTCCCCATCTGATAGTGTGAATGATAGCAGATTTTTTTTTTTTTTTGGGGGGGGGGGGGGGGCGCTGCCCCGGTGGGAGGCAGCCAACATATTAACAAATAATAATAATATGTGTCTTGAAATATGTGCAGCTTCATGAGATGGAACTGAAATCATATGAAACAACCTGAAAAGCATCAATGACTAACTATACATAGAGAGGGTTTTGGGGGTCAATGCCCCTGCAGCCCAGTCTGTGCCTAGGCCTCATTGTGGATCAGAGCCTGATCAACCAGGCTGTTACTGTAGACTGCACACAACCCAATGGATGAACCACAACCCGGCTGGTCAGGTAATGACTTTAGGTGCCTGTCCAGTGCCTTCTTGAAGACAGCCAGAGGTCTATTGGTAATCCCCTTTATGTATGCTGGGAGGCAGCTGAACAGTCTCGGGCCTCTGACACTTACTGTGTTGTCTCTTTATCATGCTAGTGGCACCCCTGCTTTTCATTGGGGGGATGTTGCATTGTTTGCTTCGTGTGCAAGTTTGGTACTAATCACTCTAGGATTTTCCAAATGTTTATAATCATGTATCTCTTCTGCCTGCTTTCTAAGAAGTACAGGTTGAGGAACTTCAAGTGTTCCCAGTAACTGAGGTGTTTCATCGCAGTTATGTGTGTTGTGAAGGTTCTCTGGACATTTTCTAGGTCAGCAATTTCACCTGCCTTGAAAGGTGCTGTTAGTGTGCAGGAATATTCCAGCCTAGATAGAACAAGTGACTTGAAGAGTGTCATCATGGGCTTGGCATCCCTAGTTTTGAAAGTTTTCATTATCCATTATGTCATTTTTGTAGCATATGCAATTGATACAATGTTTTGATCTTTGAAAGTGAGATCCTCTGACATTATCACTTCCAGGTCTTTTACATCAATTTTTTGCTCTATGTGGAATTTGTTTTATACTCGATATAGTTTTAATTTCCTCACGTTTTCCATATCGGAGTAGTTGAAATTTCTCATCATTGAACTTCATATTGCTTTCTACGGCCCATTTAAAGATTTGGTTGATGTCAACCTAGTCTTGCAGTGTCTTCAATGGAGGACACTGTCATGCAAATTTGGGTGTCATTGCAAGGGAAGACACAGTGCTGTGGCTTACATCCCTGTCTATGTCAGATATGAGGATGAGAAACAGAATGGGAGCGAGTACCGTGCCTTGTGGAACAGAGCTTTTCACAGTAGCTGCCTCAGACTTTACTCTGTTTACTACTACTCTTTGTGTTCTATTTGTTAGGAAATTATAGATCCATCTACCAACCTTTCCTGTTACAGTGGAACCCTAAGTTTCAGCCATAATTTGTTCCAGAAGGCTGTTTGAATGCCGTTACCAAACGAATTCATTCCCATAAGGAATAATGTAAATTAGATTAGTCCGTTTCAGGCCCCCAAAATTACACTTACAAAAGCACTTACAATAATACACTTATATAATTATTTGAGTTGGGAGGTGGCTGAAACTCGGGGTACCACTGTATTCCTTTATCACGAATTTTGTGCGTTATTACATAATGGTCACACTTGTCAAAGGCTTTTGCAAAGTCTGTGTATATTACATCTGTGTTTTGTTTGTCTCCTAGAGCATCCAGAACTTTGTCATAGTTATCCAGTAGTTGAGACAGGCAGAAGCGACCTGCTCTAAACCCATGTTGTCCTGGGTTGTAACTGATGGGTATCTAGATAGAGTGGCAATCTTGCTTCTTAGAACCCTTTCAAAGGTTTTTATGATATGGGATGTTAATGCTATCAGTCTGTAGTTCTTTGCAATTGCTTTACTGCCCCTTTTGTGGAGTGGGGCTATGTCTGTTGCTTTTAGCAGCTGTGCGATGGCCCATGTCCATGCTCCTTCTCCATAAGATGTTAAAAGTACATGATAGGGTTTTCTTGCAGTTCTTGATGAACACAAAGTTCCATGAGTCTGGGACTAGGGCAAAGTGCATGGGCATGTCATTTATCACCTTTTCGAAGTCATTAGGCATTAGGATAATATCAGATAGGCTTGAGTATCAAATTCTGTGTCTCACTCATAAAAAATTAATTTAGATCTTAGACTCTCAGTCTGGTTAGCAGCTCACTAAAAACTTAAGTCATATTGGAACTTGAGTAGCTGACTCATTTCCTTGCTGTCATCTCTGTAGGACCCATCTTGTCTAATTAGGGGCCCAATACTGGATGTTGTTCTCAAATTAGATTTGGCATAAGAAAAGAAATATTTTGGGTTTCTTTCAGATTCATTTATGGATTTCAGTTCTTCCTGTGTTTCTTGACTCCTGTAAGATTACTTTAGCTTAAGTTCAATGTTTGCTACTTCTCAGCTTGATACAAAAAGTATAACTTGCGTGTTGGAGAAACCAGTGACTTCTGGCAGCTCCTACTAAGACAAATAGCCAGTGACCTTACTGAGGTTTTGGGCACTTATAGATCACTGTATTTTACTATCTAGATTTCCACCTCCACCACATCAAATGCTATTTTATCACTACTGTTGGCTGTGGTAGGGCAACTGGTGAAGATTACTGGAAGAATATTTGCTTTGCGTTGTGTATACTGCGACTACTGCCAACTACAGGTTTTACATCACTCCACAAGTAACTGTATACTTCTTGTATTTCAATAAAAGAAGAATTTTCTAATTTTCGTCATTCCACCACACTAAGTACCATTTTGTTACTGTTATTAGCTACGGCAACACTGATGAAATGGGTTCTGGATAAAAGGTCTTGTGTTGTTGTGTGTGCTGCGTTAACTGACAACTCTACACCGTTCATTGTATTTCTACAGAACTGTACACTTTTCGTATTTCCTCAAGATTGTGCACCTTTTCGTATTTCAATAGAAATTTTTTAGTCAATGGTATCACTAGACTATACTTCAGGTACACTAACAGGTTTAGGAAGATTATTAATATGAGCTGACCTGCATGGTAGGATCCTTAGGCCATAGTACTATCACTTCCTTCTTAATTTTCACCTTAGCATTTATTATGGTATCTTATCTTATCACTCCAGTATGTATGACACTCTATTATCAGGGAGATTCTCTTTCCTCTCACAAATTTGTTCCAAGCTATTTTTTTTTTTTTTTGCACATAGCACCCTAGGCCTATAGTTCCCCTCTGGGAGTATGGCTCTGCTATGTTACTACACACTTTTTATCTTTTTTTGGCTCAGTGTATACTATTATTTGCTAGATTAGTTCTAAGTGGTGAAGGGATGTACTTCATAAGTTCACTGGCACAATTTAAAATTTCTAGCACGTAAAAGAAACCACAATAATCCACAAAAACGATGGAGCACGTAATACATATAGGTTGCAAAGCCAACAGAATGCTAGGTTTATGGTTAGAAATTTCAAGTACAAAACACTAGAAACAATACTGACTCTATAATGCACTTGAGAGAGTCAATAACTCAAAACAATGGAATGAGACTACTAGGTAAGAGATAGGACAGTAATATTAGTACACTACTTTTTTGCACTGCAATAAAATTATAGCAGAATGGGACAAACTATCTGCAAAGACAATTTTTTTTTTTTTTTTTTTTTTTTTTTTCAACAAGTCGGCCGTCTCCCACCGAGGCAGGGTGACCCAAAAAAGAAAGAAAATCCCCAAAAAGAAAATACTTTCATCATCATTCAACACTTTCACCACACTCGCACATTATCACTGTTTTTGCAGAGGTGCTCAGAATACAACAGTCTAGAAGCATACACATATAAAGATACACAACATATCCCTCCAAACTGCCAATATCCCAAACCCCTCCTTTAAAGTGCAGGCATTGTACTTCCCATTTCCAGGACTCAAGTCCGACTATATGAAAATAACCGGTTTCCCTGAATCCCTTCACTAAATATTACCCTGCTCACACTCCAACAGATCGTCAGGTCCCAAGTACCATTTGTCTCCATTCACTCCTATCTAACACGCTCACGCACGCTTGCTGGAAGTCCAAGCCCCTTACCCACAAAACCTCCTTTACTCCCTCTCTCCAACCCTTTCGAGGACGACCCCTACTCCGCCTTCCTTCCCCTATAGATTTATATGCTTTCCATGTCATTCTACTTTGATCCATTCTCTCTAAATGACCAAACCACCTCAACAACCCCTCTTCTGCCCTCTGACTAATACTTTTATTAACTCCACACCTTCTCCTAATTTCCACACTCCGAATTTTCTGCATAATATTTACACCACACATTGCCCTTAAACAGGACATCTCCACTGCCTCCAACCGTCTCCTCGCTGCTGCATTTACCACCCAAGCTTCACACCCATATAAGAGTGTTGGTACTACTATACTTTCATACATTCCCTTCTTTGCCTCCATAGATAACGTTTTTTTGACTCCACATATACCTCAACGCACCACTCACCTTTTTTCCCTCATCAATTCTATGATTAACCTCATCCTTCATAAATCCATCTGCCGACACGTCAACTCCCAAGTATCTGAAAACATTCACTTCTTCCATACTCCTCCTCCCCAAATTGATATCCAATTTTTCTTTATCTAAATCATTTGACACCCTCATCACCTTACTCTTTTCTATGTTCACTTTCAACTTTCTACCTTTACACACATTCCCAAACTCATCCACTAACCTTTGCAATTTTTCTTTAGAATCTCCCATAAGCACAGTATCATCAGCAAAAAGTAACTGTGTCAATTCCCATTTTGAATTTGATTCCCCATAATTTAATCCCACCCCTCTCCCAAACACCCTAGCATTTACTTCCTTAACAACCCCATCTATAAATATATTAAACAACCATGGTGACATTACACATCCCTGTCTAAGACCTACTTTTACCGGGAAGTAGTCTCCCTCTCTTCTACACACCCTAACCTGAGCCTCACTATCCTCATAAAAACTCTTTACAGCATTTAATAACTTACCACCTATTCCATATACTTGCAACATCTGCCACATTGCTCCTCTATCCACTCTATCATATGCCTTTTCTAAATCCATAAATGCAATAAAAACTTCCCTATCTTTATCTAAATACTGTTCACATATATGCTTCAATGTAAACACCTGATCTACACATCCCCTACCCACTCTAAAACCTCCTTGCTCATCCGCAATCCTACATTCTGTCTTACCTCTAATTCTTTCAATTATAACCCTACCGTACACTTTTCCTGGTATACTCAGTAAGCTTATTCCTCTATAATTTTTACAGTCTCTTTTGTCCCCTTTCCCTTTATATAAAGGGACTATACATGCTCTCTGCCAATCCCTAGGTACCTTCCCCTCTTTCATACATTTATTAAACAAAAGTACCAACCACTCCAACACTATATCCCCCCCTGCCTTTAACATTTCTGTCATGATCCCATCAGTTCCAGCTGCTTTACCCCCTTTCATTTTACGTAATGCCTCACGTACCTCCCCCACACTTACATTCTGCTCTTCTTCACTCCTAAAAGATGGTATACCTCCCTGACCAGTGCATGAAATTACTGCCTCTGTTTCTTCCTTAACATTTAAAAGTTCCTCAAAATATTCTCGCCATCTACCCAATACCTCCATCTCCCCATCTACTAACTCCCCTACTCTGTTTTTAACTGACAAATCCATATTTTCCCTAGGCTTTCTTAACTTGTTTAACTCACTCCAAAATTTTTTCTTATTTTCATTAAAATTTCTTGACAGTGCCTCTCCCACTCTATCATCTGCTCTCCTTTTGCACTCTCTCACCACTCTCTTTACCTTTCTTTTACTCTCCATATACTCTGCTCTTCTTATAACACTTCTGCTTTGTAAAAACCTCTCATAAGCTACCTTTTTCTCTTTTATCACACCCTTTACTTCATCATTCCACCAATCACTCCTCTTTCCTCCTGCCCCCACCCTCCTATAACCACAAACTTCTGCCCCACATTCTAAACAGCTAGACAAGCACTTTGCCAATACAGGACTCAACTAGATACTCTGCAGGGTTAAATTGTAATCAAGGATTCCTCGTATCACTTCAGCAACTAAATGAGGACAAACAGTTGACAATGAGCTGTCCTAGTTAACAATAACAGTAGTGGCAGAAGCAGAGGCAGAGGTGGTGATTTTGGTAATCACAGCTATGGTGCATGTCTGCCTGCACCACAGTATCCAGAACTAGTGAAAACTAAAAGTAGAATGACTAGTACACTAAGCTGTGGGTAGTGAAGCAATACAAACAAATGAGGTAGGAACAGTAATAAAAGTTGAGGTAGTTTGTAGCTCATGCCTTCCATACACTTCTATCTCTCTCTTGTAAATTTCATGCCATTGTTCTAATATGGTATGGTATGCTTTCTACCTAAATTGCATGCCAGCAGTGACTGGAGGGAATGCAGGATGAGAAGAGAGCCTTTATCTTTATTGTCCTTGCTTCAAACATCTAGAAAATACATGACAGCGTTTAAAATAGATAGTACATAATCTTTCTCAGCAGACAGCCTTAGTGTGGAATTTAAAGCCCTTTACTGTAAGTCTTTCCTGTTTACTGAATGCACAAGTCTTTAGGTACATTAGGTTATTTGAAATGTCTGGGGATTAATTATATGTTGCTATCACTTTAAGGTTCTGTGAGAAAATAAGGCATAAAAGACTAAGTAAAAATAAAAGAAAGTTGAAACTGCAAGATTCATACCTGTAAGCTTTGTATTTATCTTCAAGGGATATTATGTGCTCATGTAATTTTGCTTTTTCTTCTTCATCTGATGACATTTTGATCTGCATATCCAGTAGAGTATCATCTACAGTCTGCAGAGCATAAAAAATTGTCAATAATTTTTTATAGAAAATAGTGGCATAAACACAAGGGTGTTGGAGAGAGGTGTGGGATTAACCCTTTCAGGGTCTTGGCTGTACTAGTACGCCTAAATTCTAGCTCCCTCAAATCTAGTGAGAGAAAGCTGGTAGGCCTACATATGAAAGAATGGGTCTATGTACTCAGTGTGTGCAGTATAAAAAAAAATCCTACAGCACACAGTGCGTAATGAGAAAAAAAAATCTTTGACCGTGTTTTTGGATTAAAACAGCGACTTTGCACTGTATTTTCGTATGGTATTTATTGTTGTATTCTAGTTTTCCTGGTCTCATTTTAAAGAATGGAAGACATATTACAGAAATTGAGATGATTTTGACTGGTTTTACAATGAAAAGTACCTTGAAATTGAGCTCAAAGTAGCAGAAATCTTCGATTTTTACTAAAGTTCAAAAGTAAACAAATCATGCCAAGCATCCAATACACGTCAACTGGTGAGTCTAATATTCTTTCACAAGTGTGCTGACATTATTTATACCATTTCTACACTAATGCAGTAGTCTGCATAACAGTAAATCTTCTATTTTTTGTAAGAATAAAAATTGTAAGTGGAAAGCCAAAGAAATATAAGAGGGGCCTGGGGATGTGACTAACGAACAAAGAACTTGTTATTTTAGTGCCAGGAATGTCTTTCTTGTTTATTCTGGACCCTATTCGAAAATTGGCATCTTTTGAAATTTGTGTGAAATTGGCAAAATTGCTAAATTCTGACCACTTTATTGGATAGTTGAAATCGGTAAATGGGTGGTTTCTTGTACTTATTCGATAGGAAAAATGGAGTTCTAGCAAAATAGTTATGATTTTTGTCGACTAGTACACTGGAATTGGCCGAAAATAGGGCTCAAAGTGGGCAAAATCGCCGATGCGTAAACATCGTCAAGACCGCTAACATCGCGAGAGCATAATTCCGTAAGCTTTCCATCAAATTTCATACTTTTGGTGTCATTATGATTGGGAAAAGATTCTCTATCTTTTCATAAGAATTATGTTTTCTTTTAAACCCCTAAACGATCCAAACGTATATATACGTTCTCTCATGTAGCGCCCCAAACGTATATATACGTTTTCTTTGTCATTCATTCAACATTGCCATGATAAGCCTGAGTCACCTAGAGATGAGAGAATGGGTGTGCGCACTCACTGTGCACCATATTAAAATAATTGGGGATGCCTGGATACCATATGCTCTTTTTTCCTATTAAAAAAAAAAAAAAAAAAAAAAAAAAAATCCTCAAAAAATTTGGGGAGCTACGTGAGTGAACGTATATATACGTTTGGACCATTTAAGGGTTAAAATTTGGGGACCCTGAGAACAAGTCTCGGAGAGGGCCCGTGGACCCTGAAAGGGTTAAAAGATAATGAATTTAATATAAAGTGGGAGTTATCACAGTTGCTCTTTGCCAATGTCATGGTTCTTTTGGGAAATTCTAAAGAGAACTTACAAAGGATAAGGTTGGTGGAGGTGTTTTGGGTGGGTAAAAGAAGGAAATAAAATACAATAATAGTGATAAAAATAACAATGTTTATTTCTTTATGCAATACACATAATGTAGTTTAAATGAATTAATACAATAATAGGCACAAAAGAAAGCCACTAATTATGTAATGCATTTCAGGCAAATAATCATATTGCTTACAAGTTACTTAACAATTAGAATAGCCTATTAAGTAGGATTTCTTGTGCAGGTAACTACAATCATAGGTGCAATAAGAAAGGTAGATAATGACAAGAGGTCAATTACAAAATAATTACATATTATCTTAACTAATTCAGTGACCTTCAGTTATGTGGAGTGATCAAATAGAGATGGTGAAGATACAGCAAGTTACAATACAAAAAAAATGGGACAAGATATTTTACCAATTATGTATGGGAGTTGAAGGAAGACTGGAAGAAGGACAGGAACAGAACTGGATGAAAAGCTGGTTTTGTTTGGCTTAGCATCTTGCTGTCTTGATTATGTTAAGGAGATGAGATGCTTATTAACAAAAGCTCTGAATTAAATTTGCAGACGGAACTTTTCAATGCTTCAGACGGGGAGTTCCAGACCTTAAGGCCATTTATGTGCAGTGAGTTTTTACACAGGCTGAGTCAGGCACAGGGGATGTCAAAGAGGTTTTTGTGAACACAGAAAAGAGAAAGGTGATGAGTAAAAAAAAGTTTAAATAGTGAAATGCGTACTCCATGACTCACGAAATCATAATGACATGGGTTCTATCCCCGCCCGTGGTATGGTTTACGTACTCCATATCAGATGGTGGGGAGGGAGTATGGAGGAAATTAATGTATTAAGATATTAAGAATGGAAGTGCAGCAGATGGGTTTATGGAAGACAAGGTGAGCTACAGAATATATGGGGGAAAAAAGCAGGTGCTGTGTTGAAGTCTGTGGAAAGAAAAGTTTGTCTAGAGACAAAAAGGTAAATGCGTATAACAGAGTACATAGTGGTACCAACACTTATGGCTAACAGAAGGGGGGAGGCAGTGAGATGTCATGTTTGAGGGCAATATGTAATGTCAATACAGTATTATGCAGAGAAATTAGATTTAGTCACAAAAGGTATAATTTAAAGAGTGGGGGAAGGTTTGCTGAGGTGATTCAGTCATTCAGAAAGCATGGAGTAAAATAAAATGGCAGAGAGGGTGTATAAATCCAGGGTGGAGAAAAGAAAGCATAGCAGTCATCCCAGGAAGGGTTGGAGAGAGAGACAGTGAAGGAGGGTGCATGTGAGAGAGGCTTGAGGATGCAGCAGATGTGCATAATGTATCAGATCAAAGTGAGTGGAGTCTACTAGTTTTTAAGGGTTTGATGTGCAAATGGAGTGTGAGCTAGGTAACACTTGCAAAAGGTTACAGGGAAATCAGTTTTTGGGAGTAGAGTCCTGGAGGCAGAAAGTACAATGTTTGAACTCAAAGGAATGGGGGATGTATGCAAATCAAGACACAATATGAGAATTACCGTATTTTCTGGCATATAAGGCACCCTTTTTTCCCCCACAAAAAATCTTGGAAAATCACCCTGTGCCTTATATGCTCAAGGTCAGGGTCAAGTGTAGGCTTTGGGTTACACTTTAGCATCTGTTTACTAATGCTACATTACAACTGTTTGGAAACATCGTCTTATGTGTCTCATATACTCGTGTGCCTTATATGCTGGAAAATATGTCGTTTTAATAATGAAGACTTCATTCACCAGGGACTTTATCAATTCATACAGATAACTGTGATGTATCCACACTTTTGGCAAGACAACTATTGAATGAATGATGGTCACTGTTTCTTTATGGTGAGTCACCCTTATCCTGGTGGGATATGACCATGACTATGTTTATTTTCATTAGAATTAATGTCTCTGTATACATGTAAGTGCAATGTTTACTATGTCTCTTATGTTCTATTAACCTTAAGTTATGGCTTGCCCAAAATGCTATGCATAACCAGGGGCTTTCCAGGGGTACTAACAAATGTCATCCAATTCCGTGAAACTATGTACTGTATCTTGTAGGGAAAATAAAAAGGTTTGTTTGTTTGACTAGATCTGATATTCACCCAAGTAACAATCTTAAAAAACTAGAATACAAAACTCTACTAGGACCAAGTATTACTATGTATATCTTGAGATTTAAGTACCTGATACAGATACATCTGAAGAGCAAAGTGGGACAGGGAGCTGAATGACTGTGCAAAAGAAATAAACATAAATGGGTATCTAACTCAATGCAAAGTCAGTACCCAGCATGCTGGAACACCTCAAAGGGTTATGAAAGGAGACTATCAAGCTAATTCCAGTCCAGAATGTGAATAAAAAACAGTTACTGATATAGTTTTTAGTTTAACAGGGAGAGGAAGCAACAACAAAGTAAAAGATATAAATTAAGAGCAGGAATAACATAAAATAAATAACTGTATTTGAACACAAGTTTTCAGTGTAACCTTTTAAAGGAAATTTACCCTACAGTGAAAGTAAATTCCATACAGATTTAAAAATTATTATTATTATATTTAGGGGTAAGTGCTAAACTGAGGAGATCATATAGCAACTGAGGAAATAGGAAGCAATAAAGATCAATCCAAGGAAGGGAAGGACAGGACAAATTCCATGCATCAAGAGCTCCTCACCAACATCAAGGAACCTCCCCAAGGGACAGTAATTACAAATTATTGCTGAATACGGTCTGTAATCAATTTTCTAATAGAACCAGTATTTTTTCCTTTCATCAGCTCATTCACCAGCTTTATTGATTTATTCTCTGTTGTACAATTTTAACTATCATGCCTCTAACAACACTGTTTTTAAATTTATCATAAATAACTCCATTACCATTTATATCTATATTCAGTTTTCTTTGTCTAAGAAAAAATAAGTACAAGTACAAAAACAACTACAACACTTTATAGAAAACTTACTGAAAGTTTTCCCTTCAATAGCTCAACACTCTTATTTAGTTCTTGATTTATTTCTTGAAAAGTCTCTTTTTCCTTCCTACTGTGTTCATTCAACTGCTCAAAGTGTTCCACAGTCTGTGTCAGTAAGGTCACCTACAAAAAAACAAAATAAAAAACAATGAATATATGAAATGGTTAAGGCAAAAGACATGTACCTCTCTGCTTCTGTGCATGTGAAATGCCCAGTTACCAATACCTGTTATACATACAGTGAGGATGAATTACGTATGTACAACAGAGCCCTGCTTATACAGCAGGTTGGGTTCTGGGCTACTGTTGTCAAGTGAAATAGTTGTTCAAGTGAAATATATCTTTTTCCACTTTCAAATGCATATAATAGCCTGATAACATGTTTACAATACATGTATTATATATTAAGTGAGCAATAGAGCTAGACCTAAAAAAATGCATATACAGTGTGTACACACACTACTTACCTTAAAAAATTTTCACACTCAAGTGTACAGTGAGTGGTGAATATATTTAGTGTAGGAAGCCTGAATAAATGAAGAATGGGTATAATTGAAAACTGCTGTATTAATAAACTGCTGTAAAGTGGGGGCTTCCCTGTACCTTGAAACCACAATGAATAAATATATGAAGCTTGAAATAGAAATTCTAACAAACAATATATCATATTATTACTATACAGTGGAACCTCGGGGTACGAATCCGTTCCGTGGACTTGTTCGTATCCTGATTTGTTCGTAAGTTGGGTCAATTTTCCTCATTTAAATTAACTGAAATGCAATTAATTCGTTCCAGCTGAATTCCTGCTTTCAGGAGGCATGACGAAATAACCCTAATATCAACTCTACGGCTTCTTTATCTGTCACATTTCATCTAACATGACATAACAATATAAATAACATAGAAACTGATATACACTCTAGAATGAACAAAATATGTCATTACATGGATGGCGGAGGGAGGAGGATTGTGGTCAGGAGTGGTCGCACATTCTATGAAAACATCAGAGGTTTTATAATATTTTTTTTTTTTTCAACAAGTCGGCCGTCTCCCACCGAGGCAGGGTGATCCAAAGAGAAAGAAAATCCCCAAAAAGAAAATACTTTCATCATTCAACATTTTCACCTCACTCACACATAATCACTGTTTTTGCAGAGGTGCCCAGAAATACAACAGTTTAGAAGTATATACGTATAAAAATGCACAATATATCTCTCCAAACTGCCAATATCCCAAACCCCTCCTTTAGAGTGCAGGCATTGTACTTCCCATTTCCAGGACACAAGACCAATTATATAAAATAACCGGTTTCCCTGAATCCCTTCACTAAATATTACCCTGCTCACACTCCAACAGATCGTCAGGCCCCAAATACCATTCGTCTTCATTCACTCCTATCTAACACGCTCATGCACGCTTGCTGGAAGTCCAAACCCCTCACCCACAACACCTTCTTTACCCCCTCCGTCCAACCTTTTCGAGGACGACCCCTACCCTGCCTTCCTTCCCCTACAGATTTATACGCTCTCCATGTCATTCTACTTTGATCCATTCTCTCTAAATGACCAAACCACCTCAACAAACCCTCTTCAGCCCTCTAATACTTTTATTAACTCCACACCTTCTCCTAATTTCCACACTCCGAATTTTCTGCATATTTACACCACACATTGGTCTTAGACAGAACATCTCCACTGCCTCCAACCGCCTCCTTGCTGCTGCATTCACAGCCCAAGCTTCACACCCATATAAGTGTTGGTAATACTATACTTTCATACATAGCCTTCTTTGCCTCCATAGATAACATTTTTTGCCTCCACATATACCTCAATGCACGGCTCACCTTTTTTTCTTCATCAATTCTATGATTAACCTCATCCTTCATAAATCCATCCGCCAACACGGCAACTCCCAAATACATGTATCTGAAAACATTCACTTCTTCCATGCTCCTCCTCCCCAATTTGATATCCAATTTTTCTTTATCTAAATCATTTGATACCCTCATCACCTTACTCTTTTCTATGTTCACTTTCAACTTTCTACCTTTACACACATTCCCATATTTGTCCAATAACCTTGGCAATTTTTCTTTAGAATCTCCCATAAGCACAGTATCATCAGCAAAAAGTAACTGTGTCAATTCCATTTTGTATTTGATTCCCCATAATTTAATCCCACCCCTCTCCCGAACACCCTAGCATTTACTTCTTTCACAACCCCATCTATAAATATATTAAACAGCCATGGTGACACTGCACATCCCTGTCTAAGACCTAATTTTACCAGGAAGTAGTCACCCTCTCTTCTACACACCCTAACCTGAGCTTCACTATCCTCATAAAAACTCTTTACAGCATTTAGTAACTCACCACCTATTCCATATACTTGCAACATCTGCCACATTGCTTCCCTATCCACTCTATCATATGCCTTTTCTAAATCCATAAATACAATAAAAACTTCACCTTTATCTAAATACTGTTCAATGTAAACACCTGATCTACACATCCCCTACCCACTCTAAAACCTCCTTGCTCATCTGCAATCCTACATTCAGTCTTGCCTCTAATTCTTTCAATAATAACCCTACCATACACTTTTCCTGGTATACTCAGTAAACTAATTCCTCTATAATTTTTACAATCTCTTTTGTCCCCCTTCCCTTTATATAAAGAAATTATACATGCTCTCCGCCAATCCCTGAAATTTCTTTCGTATCCTGAAGCAAAAAATTGACCGAATGACGGTTCGTATCCTGAAAAATTCGCATGCTGGGGGCGTTTGTAACCTGAGGTTCCACTGTATTGGGAAGAACGAAACCTTTAGTGGTCACACACTGCCTAAGGAATGGGAGGCAAGCAGGTATAAACAAGGGAGGGGATACTCTAAATCCTTAGGTCATGATCCCTTTACCAGCATCCAGGTGCTTCCTTTGATGAGAATAAATAATTAAAACAGTAGAACCTACCTCAGTGGGAGATGGCTCATGTGCTAAAAAAAAAAAAAATAATAGAGCATTCACATTAGCAAGTACAAACACCTTAACCAACACATTTTATACCTGCAGTTTACCTGGAGAGAGTTCCGGGGGTCAACGCCCCCGCGGCCCGGTCTGTGACCAGGCCTCCTGGTGGATCAGAGCCTGATCAACCAGGCTGTTGCTGCTGGCTGCACGCAAACCAACGTACGAGCCACAGCCCGGCTGATCAGGAACTGACTTTAGGTGCTTGTCCAGTGCCAGCTTGAAGACTGCCAGGGGTCTGTTGGTAATCCCCCTTATGTGTGCTGGGAGGCAGTTGAACAGTCTCGGGCCCCTGACACTTATTGTATGGTCTCTTAACGTGCTAGTGACACCCCTGCTTTTCATTGGGGGTATGGTGCATCGTCTGCCAAGTCTTTTGCTTTCGTAGTGAGTGATTTTCGTGTGCAAGTTCGGTACTAGTCCCTCTAGTCTAGGATTTTCCAGGTGTATATTATCATGTATCTCTCCCTCCTGCATTCCAGGGAATACAGGTTTAGGAACCTCAAGCGCTCCCAGTAATTGAGGTGTTTTATCTCCGTTATGCGCGCCGTGAAAGTTCTCTGTACATTTTCTAGGTCGGCAATTTCACCTGACTTGAAAGGTGCTGTTAGTGTGCAGCAATATTCCAGCCTAGATAGAACAAGTGACCTGAAGAGTGTCATCATGGGCTTGGCCTCCCTAGTTTTGAAGGTTCTCATTATCCATCCTGTCATTTTTCTAGCAGATGCGATTGATACAATGTTATGGTCCTTGAAGGTGAGATCCTCTGACATAATCACTCCCAGGTCTTTGACGTTGGTGTTTCGCTCTATTTTGTGGCCAGAATTTGTTTTGTACTCTGATGAAGATTTAATTTCCTCATGTTTACCATATCTGAGTAATTGAAATTTCTCATCGTTGAACTTCATATTGTTTTCTGCAGCCACTGAAAGATTTGGTTGATGTCGCCTGGAGCCTTGCAGTGTCTGCAATGGAAGACACTGTCATGCAGATTCGGGTGTCATCTGCAAAGGAGACACGGTGCTGTGGCTGACATCCTTGTCTATGTCGGATATGAGGATGAGGAACAAGATGGGAGCGAGTACTGTGTCTTGTGGAACAGAGCTTTTCACCGTAGCTGCCTCGGACTTTACTCTGTTGACGACTACTCTCTGTGTTCTGTTAGTGAGGAAATTATAGATCCATCGACCGACTTTTCCTGTTATTCCTTTAGCACGCATTTTGTGCGCTATTACGCCATGGTCACACTTGTCGAAGGCTTTTGCAAAGTCTGTATATATTACATCTGCATTCTTTTTGTCTTCTAGTGTATTTAGGACCTTGTCGTAGTGATCCAATAGTTGAGACAGACAGGAGCGACCTGTTCTAAACCCATGTTGCCCTGGGTTGTGTAACTGATGGGTTTCTAGATGGGTGGTGATCTTGCTTCTTAGGACCCTTTCAAAGATTTTTATGATATGGGATGTCAGTGCTATTTGTCTGTAGTTCTTTGCTGGAGCTTTACTGCCCCCTTTGTGGAGTGGGGCTATGTCTGTTGTTTTTAGTAACTGTGGGACGACCCCCGTGTCCATGCTCCCTCTCCATAGGATGGAAAAGGCTCGTGATAGGGGCTTCTTGCAGTTCTTGATGAACACAGAGTTCCATGAGTCGGCCTGGGGCAGAGTGCATGGGCATGTCATTTATCGCCTGTTCGAAGTCATTTGGCGTCAGGATAACATCGGATAGGCTTGTGTTTACCTGGAGAGAGTTCTGGGGTCAACGCCCCCGCGGCCCGGTCTGTGACCAGGCCTCCTGGTGGATCAGAGCCTGATCAACCAGGCTGTTGCTGCTGGCTGCACGCAAACCAACGTACGAGCCACAGCCCGGCTGATCAGGAACTGACTTTAGGTGCTTGTCCAGTGCCAGCTTGAAGACTGCCAGGGTTCTGTTGGAAATCCCCCTTATGGGGAACCTTGAGGTTCCTAAACCTGTATTCCCTGGAATGCAGGAGGGAGAGATACATGATTATATACACCTGGAAAATCCTACAGGGACTAGTACCGAACTTGCACACGAAAATCACTCACTACGAAAGCAAAAGACTTGGCAGACGATGCACCATCCCCCCAATGAAAAGCAGGGGTGTCACTAGCACGTTAAGAGACCATACAATAAGTGTCAGGGGCCCGAGACTGTTCAACTGCCTCCCAGCACACATAAGGGGGATTACCAACAGACCCCTGGCAGTCTTCAAGCTGGCACTGGACAAGCACCTAAAGTCAGTTCCTGATCAGCCGGGCTGTGGCTCGTACGTTGGTTTGCGTGCAGCCACAGCAACAGCCTGTTGATCAGGCGCTGATCCACCAGGGGGCCTGGTCACAGCCCGGGCCGGGGGGGCGTTGACCCCCGGAACTCCCCCCCCGGTACTCCGGGTATGGTGCTGGGAGGCAGCTGAACAGCCCGGGGCCCCGACACTTTTTGTATGTCTCTTTAACGTGCGTGACACCCCTTTTTTTTTTGGGGGAGGGTTTCTCGTCTGCCAATCTTTTGTTTTCGTATGAGTGATTTTCGTGTGCAAGTTCGGTACTATCCCTCTAGGTTTTTCCAGGTGTATAAAATCATGTATCTCTCCCCCCGGTTCCAGGGAAAAAGGGTTTAGGAACCTAAAGCGTCCCGTAATTGAGGTGTTTTACTCCGTTACGCCCCGTGAAAGTTCTCTGTACTTTTTCTGGGTCGGAAATTTCACCTGCCTTAAAAGGTCTGTTATGTGCAGCAATATTCCACCCTAGATAAAAAAGGATCAAAGAGTTCATCATGGCTTGGCCTCCCTATTTTTTAAAGGGTTTCCATTATCCATCCTGTCATTTTTTCTAGCAATGCGTTTTGATAAAATGTTAGGTCCTTAAAGGTGAGATCCTCCGAATAATCACCCCCAGGTTTTTGACTTGGTGTTTCGCCCCTTTTTGTGGCCAGAATTTTTTTTTGTACTCTGATAAGTTTTAAATTTCCTCATGTTTACCATATCTGGTACAGGGGACCCCCGATAGCGACTTTAATCCGTGCAAGAGGGCGATTGTTATGCGAAAATGATCGGTATGCGAATGAATTTTTTCCCCCTAAGAAAAAAATGGAAATTAAATTAATCCGTTCAAACACCCAAAAGTATGAAAAAAATTTTTTCCACATAAATAACTTTTCCTACACACAAAAAGAAGGATACATGCACAATAAGGGGTAGTACATGCACAATAAAATTGTGCATTTTACACTCTACTAAAAGAAGAAAAAATGACACTTACCCTTTTGAAGATGCGCAAAATGATGAGACACTGTGTCCTGGAGTGCCTTTTTCCCCCTGAGTACGTAGGTCCTGTTTGGGATTTTCTTCCAGAACAGGCCTTTTCACATTTTGATGCCCTACGATTCTTAAAACTTCAAAACCCCCTTTGCTGGCTTTTAAAACACCAATGAGCCAGTTTTTAGGGATTTTTCCCTTTCACCTGGGTGTTAGTCGATGGGGTGGGGGTTTCATCCCGGGAACAAGATTAAGGACCCCCAATGAAATAAGTTTGCAGCTTTATGACACTGATTTTTTGGGTTATCCTGGGTGGCAAAACCTTGGGGGTTTAATTGTTTTTGGTATTTTTCCCAATAAAACCCACACCAAAAACGGGGCTACAGCAGCAGCGCAGCCTGACAGTGCTACAGAGCACAAACGATGCTACAGCACAGCAGACGGGAATTTCAGCAGCAGGAAAGGTACTACACGCACGCAGCAGCTGACATGGACAACAGCGCAGCAGCTGACAGTGCTACAGCAGCAGCAACGATGCACAGCACAGCAGACGATGCTACGCAGCCAGACGATGCTAAGCAGCAGCAGACGGTACTACAGCACAGCAGCAGTGCCACCAAAAGAAGCATGGGTTTATTGGGGGTTTTTTTTTAACAAACCCGGCCACTCGGAGACACGCACTCCCCTTCATACTTTTCAATGATCTCTTTTTTTCATCTTATAGTAAAATTTTCCCCCCTTATTTCTGTAGGGTTTTGGCCTAGAAGCTTTCTTTGGGGGCCCATGGTCACTTATTTTCCAGATAAATCACCAAAAACACTGTAATAATACGAAATGTTCCGATTGTATGCTTGGATGTTACTGCGGAGGCTGGCTGGTAAACAATGCCACCGGCGGCACATGTGAGGCTGGCTAAGGGCGCACATTGGACGCGTCTCGGACGAAGAGTGGTGAGCGGGTTTTTGGGCGGTATGCGAGGCAAAATTTTTGCGATAAAAGCGAGCGGTATGCGGATTGAACGGTATGCGATGAGTACGGTATGCGGGGGTCCACTGTAATTGAAATTTCTCATCGTTGAACTTCATATTGTTTTCTGCAGCCCACTGAAAGATTTGGTTGATGTCCGCCTGGAGCCTTGCAGTGTCTGCAATGGAAGTCACTGTCATGCAGATTCGGGTGTCATCTGCAAAGGAAGACACGGTGCTGTGGCTGACATCCTTGTCTATGTCGGATATGAGGATGACGAACAAGATGGGAGCGAGTACTGTGCCTTGTGGAACAGAGCTTTTCACCGTAGCTGCCTCGGACTTTACTCTGTTGACGACTACTCTCTGTGTTCTGTTAGTGAGGAAATTATAGATCCATCGACTGACTTTTCCTGTTATTCCTTTAGCACGCATTCTGTGCGCTATTACACCATGGTCACACTTGTCGAAGGCTTTTGCAAAGTCTGTATATATTACATCTGCATTCTTTTTGTCTTCTAGTGCATTTAGGACCTTGTCGTAGTGATCCAATAGTTGAAACAGACAGGAGCGACCTGTTCAAAACCCCATGTTGCCCTGGGTTGTGTAACTGATGGGTTTCTAGATGGGTGGTGATCTTGCTTCTTAGGACCCTTTCAAAGATTTTTATGATATGGGATGTTAGTGCTATTGGTCTGTAGTTCTTTGCTGTTGCTTTACTGCCCCCTTTGTGGAGTGGGGCTATGTCTGTTGTTTTTAGTAACTGGGACGACCCCCGTGTCCATGCTCCCTCTCCATAGGATGGAAAAGGCTCGTGATAGGGGCTTCTTGCAGTTCTTGATGAACACAGAGTTCCATGAGTCTGGCCCTGGGGCAGAGTGCATGGGCATGTCATTTATCGCCTGTTCGAAGTCATTTGGCGTCAGGATAACATCGGATAGGCTTGTGTTAATCAAATTTTGTGGCTCTCTCATAAAAAATTCATTTTGATCTTCGACTCTCAGTCTGGTTAGTGGCTTGCTAAAAACTGAGTCATATTGGGACTTGAGTAGCTCACTCATTTCCTTGCTGTCATCTGTGTAGGACCCATCTTGTTTAAGTAGGGGCCCAATACTGGACGTTGTTCTCGATTTTGATTTGGCATAGGAGAAGAAATACTTTGGGTTTCTTTCGATTTCATTTATGGCTTTTAGTTCTTCCCGCGATTCCTGACTCCTAAAGGATTCTTTTTTGCTTAAGTTCGATGCTTGCTATTTCTCTGACCAGTGTCTCCCTACGCATTTCAGATATATTGACCTCTTTTAGCCGCTCTGTTATTCTTTTCCATCGCCTGTAAAGGGAGCGCCTGTCTCTTTCTATTTTACATCTACCCCTCCTTTTTCTTAGAGGAATAAGCCTTGTGCATACATCGAGTGCCACCGAGTTAATCTGTTCTAGGCATAAGTTGGGGTCTGTGTTGCTTAGTATATCTTCCCAGCTTATATCGGTTAGGACTTGGTTTACTTGGTCCCACTTTATGTTTTTGTTATTGAAGTTGAATTTGGTGAATGCTCCCTCGTGACTAGTCTCATTATGTCGGTCTGGGGCTCCACGCATACATGTCTGAACCTCAATTATGTTGTGATCTGAGTATATTGTTTTTGATATGGTGACATTTCTTATCAGATCATCATTGTTAGTGAAGATGAGGTCTAGTGTATTCTCCAGTCTAGTAGGCTCTATTATTTGCTGGTTTAAATTGAATTTTGTGCCTTTAGGGATAAGAGTAAAGTGTTACAGTATACTCCACATACAAGAGAATAAGACCAATGAAACACGACAATGGCAAATTATGCTTAAAACAGCTTTTAGAAAATCAGGTGTCAAATGCCAGAAAAGCACCTTCATCCAATTTGTGAAATATATAGAAATTTAAACTACTTTGTCCTGAACTGCACATAAACATTGGTTAAGGTCTTTTCTATCACCTTATATTAGAACAATGAATGCCATTTCTATTTTGTCTGATAATTTACTTTGAGCATATTCTTCAGTTGTGTATCAGTATCATTTTTTTTTTGTTTCCAAGAAGCAATCCTAAAAGAAATATTATATATCTATGTTGAATATAAAGTTGCTGTGGAAATTAATATATTACACAAACATAACAGAAGAATAAGCTAACCTGTACTTCTAGTTGTTTCACATGTTTCTCTGTATCAGTTAGGCATATCTTGCTGTTATCAAGTTCACCTACTAAATTTTCATTCACAAGCTGAAAAAAAAATTAGTTTTTAACTTTAGTCAAATAAATAATAACACTACAGTTACTATCAACTATATACATTTTCCTGGGTAAATGTTATTACAGCAAAACATCTCTTTTATCAAGTTCAGATTTTTCTTTTAGTTGCTGTTTCCACTCAATATTTTGACACTGAAACAACCTAAACCACTTGATAATATATATATTTTTTTTCAACATGTCAGTTGTCTCTCACTGATGCAGGGTGACCCAAAAAGAAAGACAATCCCTAAAAACAAAAATACTTTCATCATCTTTCAACACTTTCACCTCATACATAATCACTGTCTTTGCAGAGGCGCTCAGATACGACAGTTTAGAAGTCCCTCCAAACTGTCAATATCCCAAACCCCTTCTTTAAAGTGCAGGCATTGTACTTCCCATTTCCAGAACTCAAATCCAGCTATATAAAAATAACTGGTTTCCCTGAATTCCTTCACAAAATATTAACCTGCTCACACTCCAACAGCTTGTCAGGTCCCAAAAACCATTCGTCTCCATTCACTCCTATCTAAAATGCTCACACATGCTTGCTGGAAGTCCAAGCCCCTTGCCCACAAAACCTCCTTTACCCCCTCCCTCCAACCTTTTCGAGGACAACCCCTACCCCGCCTTCCTTCCCCTACAGATTTATACACTCTCTAAGTCATTCTACTTTGATCCATTCTCTCTAAATGACCAAACCACCTCAACAACTCCTCTACAGCCCTCTGACTAATACTTTTATTAACTTCACACCTCCTCCTAATTTCCACATTCTGAATTCTCTGCATAATATTTACACCACACACTGCCCTTAGACAGGACATCTCCATTGCCTCCAGCCACCTCCTCGCTGCAGCATTTGCAACCCAAGCTTCACACCTATATAAGTGTTGGTACCACTATACTTTCTTACATTCCCTTCTTTGCCTGCATGGATATCGTTTTTTGTCTCCACAGATACCTCAATGCACCACTCACCTTTTTTCCTTCATCAATTTTATGGTTTACTTTGTCCTTCTTAAACCCATTCGCTGGCAAGTTTACTCTCAAATATCTGTGCAAGAGGCTTGGACATACAGCAGGCATGTGAGAGCGTTAGACAGGAGTGGGGACAAATGGTTTTGGGGACTTGACGAGGTGTTGGAGTGTGATCAAGGTAACATTTTGTGGAGGGATTTAGGAAAACTGGCTAGCTGGATCTGAGTCCTGGAGGTGGGAAGTACAATGCCTGCACTTTAAAGGAGGGGTTTGGGATACTGACTGTTTGGAGTAACATCTAAACCATTGTATCTGAGTGCTTCTACAAAGACAGTGATTATGTGTGAATGATGTTAAGTGCTGAATGATAGTGAAAGTGTTTCTTTCTTTTTTTTTGGGTCACACTTCCTTGGTGGAAGATGGCCGACGTGTTAAAAAAATCATATATTAAAACATACTGAGTATACCAGGAAGAGTGTACGTTAGGGTTATTATTGAAAGAATTAGAGGTAAGACAGAATGTAGAATTGCAGATGAGCAAGGAGGTTTTAGAGTGGGTAGGAGATGTGTAGATCAAGTGTTTACATTGAAGCATATATTTTTTTTTTTTTTTTTTTTTTTTTCAACAAGTCGGCCGTCTCCCACCGAGGCAGGGTGACCCAAAAAAGAAAGAAAATCCCCAAAAAGAAAATACTTTCATCATCATTCAACACTTTCACCACACTCGCACATTATCACTGTTTTTGCAGAGGTGCTCAGAATACAACAGTCTAGAAGCATACACATATAAAGATACACAACATATCCCTCCAAACTGCCAATATCCCAAAACCCCTCCTTTAAAGTGCAGGCATTGTACTTCCCATTTCCAGGACTCAAGTCCGACTATATGAAAATAACCGGTTTCCCTGAATCCCTTCACTAAATATTACCCTGCTCACACTCCAACAGATCGTCAGGTCCCAAGTACCATTCGTCTCCATTCACTCCTATCTAACACGCTCACGCACGCTTGCTGGAAGTCCAAGCCCCTTACCCACAAAACCTCCTTTACCCCCTCTCTCCAACCCTTTCGAGGACGACCCCTACCCCGCCTTCCTTCCCCTATATATTTATATGCTTTCCATGTCATTCTACTGTGATCCATTCTCTCTAAATGACCAAACCACCTCAACAACCCCTCTTCTGCCCTCTGACTAATACTTTTATTAACTCCACACCTTCTCCTAATTTCCACACTCCGAATTTTCTGCATAATATTTACACCACACATTGCCCTTAAACAGGACATCTCCGCTGCCTCCAACCGTCTCCTCGCTGCTGCATTTACCACCCAAGCTTCACACCCATATAAGAGTGTTGGTACTACTATACTTTCATACATTCCCTTCTTTGCCTCCATAGATAACGTTTTTTTGACTCCACATATACCTCAACGCACCACTCACCTTTTTTCCCTCATCAATTCTATGATTAACCTCATCCTTCATAAATCCATCCGCCGACACGTCAACTCCCAAGTATCTGAAAACATTCACTTCTTCCATACTCCTCCCCAATTTGATATCCAATTTTTCTTTATCTAAATCATTTGACACCCTCATCACCTTACTCTTTTCTATGTTCACTTTCAACTTTCTACCTTTACACACATTCCCAAACTCATCCACTAACCTTTGCAAATTTTCTTTAGAATCTCCCATAAGCACAGTATCATCAGCAAAAAGTAACTGTGTTAATTCCCATTTTGAATTTGATTCCCCATAATTTAATCCCACCCCTCTCCCAAACACCCTAGCATTTACTTCCTTTACAACCCCATCTATAAATATATTAAACAACCATGGTGACATTACACATCCCTGTCTAAGACCTACTTTTACCGGGAAGTAGTCTCCCTCTCTTCTACACACCCTAACCTGAGCCTCACTATCCTCATAAAAACTCTTTACAGCATTTAATAACTTACCACCTATTCCATATACTTGCAACATCTGCCACATTGCTCCTCTATCCACTCTATCATATGCCTTTTCTAAATCCATAAATGCAATAAAAACTTCCCTATCTTTATCTAAATACTGTTCACATATATGCTTCAATGTAAACACCTGATCTACACATCCCCTACCCACTCTAAAACCTCCTTGCTCATCCGCAATCCTACATTCTGTCTTACCTCTAATTCTTTCAATTATAACCCTACCGTACACTTTTCCTGGTATACTCAGTAAGCTTATTCCTCTATAATTTTTACAGTCTCTTTTGTCCCCTTTCCCTTTATTAAAGGGACTATACATGCTCTCTGCCAATTTCCCCAGGTACCTTCCCCTCTTTCATACATTTATTAAACAAAAGTACCAACCACTCCAACACTATATCCCCCCCTGCTTTTAACATTTCTGTCATGATCCCATCAGTTCCAGCTGCTTTACCCCCTTTCATTTTACGTAATGCCTCACGTACTCCCCCCACACTTACATTCTGCTCTTCTTCACTCCTAAAAGATGGTATACCTCCTGACCAGTGCATGAAATTACTGCCTCTGTTTCTTCCTTAACATTTAAAAGTTCCTCAAAATATTCTCGCCATCTACCCAATACCTCCATCTCCCCATCTACTAACTCCCCTACTCTGTTTTTAACTGACAAATCCATATTTTCCCTAGGCTTTCTTAACTTGTTTAACTCACTCCAAAATTTTTTCTTATTTTCATTAAAATTTCTTGACAGTGCCTCTCCCACTCTATCATCTGCTCTCCTTTTGCACTCTCTCACCACTCTCTTTACCTTTATTTTACTCTCCATATACTCTGCTCTTCTTATACCACTTCTGCTTTGTAAAAAGCATATATGTGAACAGTATTTAGATAAAGGTAGGGAAGTTTTTATTGCATTTATGGATTTAGAAAAGGCATATGATAGAGTGGATAGAGGAGCAATGTGGCAGATGTTGCAAGTATATGGAATAGGTGGTAAGTTATTAAATGCTGTAAAGAGTTTTTATGAGGATAGTGAGGCTCAGGTTAGGGTGTGTAGAAGAGAGGGAGACTACTTCCCGGTAAAAGTAGGACTTAGACAGGGATGTGTAATGTCACCATGGTTGTTTAATATATTTATAGATGGGGTTGTAAAGGAAGTAAATGCTAGGGTGTTCGGGAGAGGGGTGGGATTAAATTTTTGGGGAATCAAATTCAAAATGGGAATTGACACAGTTACTTTTTGCTGATGATACTGTGCTTATGGGAGATTCTAAAGAAAAATTGCAAAGGTTAGTGGATGAGTTTGGGAATGTGTGTAAAGGTAGAAAGTTGAAAGTGAACATAGAAAAGAGTAAGGTGATGAGGGTGTCAAATGATTTAGATAAAGAAAAATTGGATATCAAATTGGGGAGGAGGAGTATGGAAGAAGTGAATGTTTTCAGATACTTGGGAGTTGACGTGTCGGCGGATGGATTTATGAAGGATGAGGTTAATCATAGAATTGATGAGGGAAAAAAAGGTGAGTGGTGCGTTGAGGTATATGTGGAGTCAAAAAACGTTATCTATGGAGGCAAAGAAGGGAATGTATGAAAGTATAGTAGTACCAAAACACTCTTGTATGGGTGTGAAGCTTGGGTGGTAAATGCAGTAGCGAGGAGACGGTTGGAGGCAGTGGAGATGTCCTGTTTAAGGGCAATGTGTGGTGTAAATATTATGCAGAAAATTCGGAGTGTGGAAATTAGGAGAAGGTGTGGAGTTAATAAAAGTATTAGTCAGAGGGCAGAAGAGGGGTTGTTGAGGTGGTTTGGTCATTTAGAGAGAATGGATCAAAGTAGAATGACATGGAAAGCATGTAAATCTATAGGGGAAGGAAGGCGGGGTAGGGGTCGTCCTCGAAAGGGTTGGAGAGAGGGTGTAAAGGAGGTTTTGTGGGCAAGGGGCTTGGACTTCCAGCAAGCGTGCGTGAGCGTGTTAGATAGGAGTGAATGGAGACGAATGGTACTTGGGACCTGACGATCTGTTGGAGTGTGAGCAGGGTAATATTTAGTGAAGGGATTCAGGGAAACCGGTTATTTTCATATAGTCGGACTTGAGTCCTGGAAATGGGAAGTACAATGCCTGCACTTTAAAGGAGGGGTTTGGGATATTGGCAGTTTGGAGGGATATGTTGTGTATCTTTATATGTGTATGCTTCTAGACTGTTGTATTCTGAGCACCTCTGCAAAAACAGTGATAATGTGCGAGTGTGGTGAAAGTGTTGAATGATGATGAAAGTATTTTCTTTTTGGGGATTTTCTTTCTTTTTTGGGTCACCCTGCCTCGGTGGGAGACGGCCGACTTGTTGAAAAAAAAAAAAAACTTCTAAGCTGTTGTATTCTGGACACCTCTGCAAAAACAGTGCTTATGTGTGAGTGAGGTAAAAGTGTTGAATGATGATTAAAGTATTTTCTTTCTCTTTGGGTCACCCTGCCTCGGTAGGAGACAGCCGACTTGTTGAAGAAAAAAAAAAAAAAAAAAAATTAAAACCTACCTGCAAATTCCTGTAATCTGCTTCTATATCTGACAGTTGTGTACCAAGATCACCAACTCTTTGTTGCAACTGATTAATCTCCTGGAGATTTTTAAGCTGTGCACATTCTAATGTGTTGATTGCCTCTGCTTTATACACAATCTCCTGGTTATCAAAAAACAAAAAATTATTATATATATTAAAATAAACACAAGACATTTATGATCCGCATTAAAGCAGAATATGTAATGTTATCAAAGTAAACTTTATGGCATGAATATTTATTATGTGAATGATCAATGAAAACACTTTAGAGTATAGTAATGGTGTGAAGTACTTCACCTGTTCTAATTCCTGCTTGCGAATGGTGAGTGCAGCAACTTTATCTGCAAGTTCACTCCTAGCACCTTCTACAGTATCATTATTCTTCTTTAAAAACTTAATTTTTTCAACAGCTTCCTGAAGACCTCTCTGGCTCTCTTCATACCTAAGAAAAATATTGAAGTTTTTTCAATAAAAGGATGACATACATATACAGTGGAACCTTAAAATTCGAACGTATCACATATCGAACGTTTCAAAATTAGAACCCATTTTTCGAACCAACTTTGTCCCTATTATCGAACGCGCCCCTATTTTCAGACCGCTGGGTACCGGACCTGTTTGCCAGCCCGCTCTGTCCGCGTCCCTGCGCAGGCGCCGTGAACCAGTTTGGCTTTGTTTATGCTTGAGTGAACACTAACATGCGCTCTCATTCAAACATTTTTTCGATTATTTCATTGTGTTTAGTGTTTGTGGGACTGTGAAATAAGCTACCATGGGCCCAAAGAAACTTGCTAGTGGTACCCCTGTGGTAAAGAAAGTGAGAAACACCATAGATGTGAAGAAGGAAATAATACAGAAGTGGAATGATGTCCAAGTGGAATGATGCCCAAGCTGAAACAAGCCATCTTTGCAACAAGTTCAGTGACAGAACCATGTCCCATTTTAGGGAAATCTTAAAAGAGGTACCAGAAACAGAGGAATGTAGACAGTTATTTTGTGAGACAGGGGTCCAGTGACTCTCAAGCTGGTCCTAGTGGCATTAGAAGACAGAGAAGGGAAGTAACCCCAGAGGGCTTTACCTGAAGTCCTCACGGAGGGGGATTCTCCTTCCAAACGCTAACCCCAACTCCCTCTCCTCCTCCCTATCTTCCAGATACCATCACCAATCTTCAATAAAGGTAAGTAAAAATTTATTTTATATACATAATTGAACACTATAGTATTTGTTGTGTGTATGTAAAACTATAATTAATCTCTATAAAATGTATTTTTTTTGTGAATATTTTTGGGTTTCTGGAATGGATTAATTGTATTTCCATTATTTCTTATGGGAAATATTGCTTCGATTTTCAGACTTTTCAAATTTAGATCTAGCTCCTGGAACGAATTAAGTTCGAAATTTGAGGTTCCACTGTAACCCTTTCACTGTCGTAACCTCCGAAATTAAAAATGCTGACAGTGTTGCAATTTAAAAAAATCCGAAATGGTAGAGAACCTTTTTTGGAAGCTAATGACACCAAAAATGCAAAATTTTATAGCAAACTTAAGGAATTACACAGGCGTAAAGTTGGCAGTCTGTGTGCAATTTACACATATTTTAAGCCAATTCCATTGCTCAATTTAACTCAGTTCCTAGCTATTTTGTTAGTATGCCTTTTGTTCTATTGAGTGACCTTAAGAAACTGCCCATTCAACTATCAAAACTACCCTATAAAGTGCACAGAAGTCATTAATATCGCCAATTTTACACAAAATTTAACAAATTCCAAAATAAAACACCGTAGGCATTCCAGCCACTAAAGCAATTTTTGTGTATTCATTAATCATGTCTCAAGGCCAGAAATATAGACCTACAATACATAAATTCTACCTTTATTTTTTTTAATACACTGGCCATCTCCCGCTAAGGTCGGGTGGCCAGAAAAAGAAGAAACACTCACTCTCATTCATTCCATCAGTCATTACAGATGTGTGTTGGCATCACTGCTCAGATGACCCTCCAAACTGCAACATCACCACCCCTCCTTCGGAGTGTAGGCACTGTGCTTCCCACCTCCAACACTAAATCTTCCTTACTCTAAACCCCTGCATTTACTCACAATCCAAAATTGAGTCAAGTCATAAAAACCACATGTCTCCACTCACACCTATTTACTTTGCTCACAGAGGCCTGTTGGATGTCCAAGCCCCTTGTAATTACATAATTTAATTACCTGTTTGCTACTACAGCAACAGGGTTATGCTCCTGGTATACCACAATCCCTAGATATCTACAAGTTCTCCATAGTGACTTGAATTCATAAACTTACCAACAGCATAATTTTCTCAACCAATGGTTATAAAATTCTAGGTATAGTTTACTAAATCCAAAAATAATTTAAATACTATACTGAATCCATCACATAAAATGCTTGAAGTACCCACATCCCATACCACAGCCTCTATATCTAAAGATATATATACATACTACTCCTAGCTTAACTAATAAAAGTCATCCAGGATGTTACTGATTTGAATAGGTGCCTTCTTTAATTCTGGTATTTACTCAAGCAATACAAGTATTTTATAACAATGTAAGCTAATTTTTATAATCCACCACACCTAACAAAGGTCATTAAGGATATTACTGCCTACATGATTTCAGTATTTACTGGGTAATGCATGACCTTTCAGGGTTACTTAGTGAAGATGCATGATGCTGTGAAGATTATTTTGAGTTCGTAAACAAAAAAAAAATGAAAAATCTACATGCATCTTGCCAAGGCAGCAAAAATCTAATACAGTAAATGAGGAATAATAGATGAACAAGCTTACCGAATTTGCTCATGCTTAAGTTCACTTTCAATATTCATAGCTTTTTGTGTTAAGGAATTGGTTTTCTCCTTCAGTTCATCTTGAGTTTTTGTCAATGACTCTTTAACCTGAAAAGTATCATGAAAACTCATTAATATTCATTCCTAGTGTAATTTTTTATTTACATAAAGTCTTTGATTTTTCCATATTCACTTCCCTTTTCTGCAATGTAATTTTTACCAAGAAGCAGTATGTAAACAGCAATTGCTTGCTCCGAGGGGCATCTCATATTATATTTTCTGCATCTATCTCTAAGAAGATGGAAACATGGTCCAGTCTTGAAGTACTCACATATCATTGGATAATCCTTATTCTGTTTGATATCACAGCATTTTTTAAATGATATTATTGTTCTTGCACTGTTTCTGCCACATTCCTGTCAGTTTTCTGATGGTTGGTGGTAGGCTGTAAATGACAGCCATAAATACTCTAGGATTATACATATACTGTGTAATCTAAAAACTCTAAGGTTTAATATGAATGACAAATACAAGTCCAAGTCAGATAACAGCTTTCCTGAGATGCTACAATAAAGAATGAATAATGGGCTGTTCAGTGTCAGAATTTTTTGGGAAGTGTCATGATATAAAATACAGAAGCAGCTTATAAAAATAAATTCATAAACAAATTGTTATTGTATTACCAGAATTTACATATATGATTAACAAACACTACATACCTCTTCTAACTGAATCTCCAAAGAAATCTTCTCATTTTGTGAAGCAGTAAAGCTAGCCTCAATTGTAATCAAACTTTCAGTCAGGCTGTTCACTGTCTTCTTGAAACTGTTCAGTTTCTCAGTTAGATCAGCCAATTTCTTTTCCTTTGCTGATAGTTGCTCTTGCATAACTTCTTTTAGTTTTTCCAGACTGGTTATATTCTCTTCAGCTAATTGAAAAGTTCTAGTTAAGAGTTTTTATATTTATAAAAAGTGTATATACTAATTATATCTACAACCTTTAAATTTTGTATAGGAAATCATTATCATATGTTTTGAGAGTATGAATGGTATATGTATACCTATACAGTAGTTCCCCCAAATTCCTGGGGGTTATGTTTCAAGACCACCTGTGAATTTGGAAAAACCACAAGTTCTGGACCCGGTTAACCCCTTGACTGTCACAACCCTAAATCCTGAGGTGTCTCCTGGTGTCGGAAAAAAAAAAAAAACTAATGAAATGATAGAGAATTTTTTGTCGATGGTAATGATGCCAAAAGCACGAAATTTGATAGAAAACTGATGGAATTACGCTCTCGCAAATTTAGCAACCTCGGCGATATTTACGAATCGGTAATTTCACCCACTCTGAGCCCTATTTTTGGCTAATTCCACTGTTCCAGTCGACCAAACTCATAGCTATTTCTTTAGAACTCCATCTTTTCTATCGATTGAGTACAAGATACTGCCTATTTACCGATTTCAACTACCCAATAACATGGTCAGAAATTTGCAATTTGGCCAATTTCACAAAAATTAAAAAATATGCCAATTTCAAAATAGGGTCCAGAATGAACAATGCAGACATTCCTGGCTCTAAAATAACATTTTCTTTGTTCATCAGTCACGTCTCCAGGCTTTTCTGATATTACTCTTGCTTTATATTTTGAATTTTTATTCAAACAAAAAATAAAAGATTTACTGTTATGCAGACTACTGAAATATTGTAATAATTGTATAAATAATATCAACCCATTCATGACTGCATATTAGAATGGCTAGTTAGATATTTATTGGACAATGACATGATTTGTTTACTCTTGAACATCGGCAAAAATCAAACATTTCCCCTACTTTGAGCTCCATTTCAAGGTCCTTTTCGTAGTAAAACCAATCAAAATCACCTCTATTTCTATAATATGCTTTTCATTCTATCTAATGTGACTACAAAAACAAGAATATAACCATAAAAATTATATAAAAATACACCTTAAAGTCGGCATTTTAATCCAAAAACACGGTCAGTTTTTTTTTCTTATTATGCACTGCATGCTGCAGGATTTTTTTAATATGGTGCACACTGACCACACAGACCCACTCTCTCACATGTGGGCCTACCAGCTTTCTCCTGCTTGATTTGAAGCCGCTAGAATTTTTGAGTGATTAACAATCCACTCTTTCCTAGTGAATTAAACAATACAAACTGCAAAGCTACAATTCTTCAGATCATACAAGACCACCTACGTGTTAGTGTGCCAGTGTCAGAAATAAAAGAATCACGGGTTACTAGGGAACCAAGGGAGAAAAAGTGTTATGCTTAGATTTCACACACAAGACAGAAAAACAGATCTAATAAGTTCATCTATTAAAGCAAAAACAGATATACTGTATACATAAGTGAGTGTCTCGCAAGAAAACGACAGAACCTCCTGTACAGAGTGAGAAAATTGAAACGTGAGAATAATGATAAAATTCATCAGTGCTTTGTACGTGATGGACAAATTCTAGTAAGAAAAACAAATGTAGGCCATGTGTACTACATTACAAATGAAAATGAACTAGCAAACTTCCTTCATGGTGCAAATATTAGAGTCTGACTGATATTAGTGACCAAATCTTTGTACTACGTTACTGTATATTATTATTATGCCATTATTAAACTAATCCCTGTACTATCACCTCCTGGCTAGTATTTACTACCTCATTATCTCATGTGTCCCACACAGTTCCTTGTGTGACTCAATTTGTGTTATCTTAGGAAAAAACCTTGCCAATAAAATTCCAAGCTCAAATACCCCACCCAATGACTACCTCACTGGAAACTACCCGAACACACTGTTCCTAGCTCCAACTAACCCAACAGAAGTCTCCCTTATTATCAACACACTAAAAAACAAAGACAGGGATTTAAATACCTTACCACCCTTTATATACAAAAAAGTGTTGCAAGTGCTGTCACCAATCATTGCAACAATCTTTAACAAATCCATCGAATCCTCTACCTTCCCTACAGTTCTTAAAATAGTGAGGGTCACCCCGATCCATAAAGGAGGAGACCAAACAGACTTGAATAACTATAGGCCAATATCCAACTTACACCATCTCTCTAAAATCTTCGAAAAATTAATTCATAAGCGAATCTATTCCTATCTCCTCTCCCACAACATACTCAACCCCTGTCAGTTTGGGTTCAGGCCTAATAAAAATACAAATGATGCTATTATACACATGCTAGAACAAATATACACTGCACTAGAGAAAACAGAAGTCCCACTGGGAATCTTCATTGATTTACGTAAAGCTTTTGATACAGCTGACACAACTTGCTCCACATAAAATTGTCGCACTATGGTATAAGAGGGCACTCCCTCAATTACCTAAAGTCATACCTCAGCAACAGAAGCCAATATGTGTACACAAATGGAGCAAACTTTTCCACACAGCCAATTACAGTTGGTGTCCCACAGGGAAGTGTCCTTGGCCCTCTTCTCTTTCTCGTTTACATAAACGACCTACCAAATGCATCGCAACTACTCAAACCCACACTATTTGCAGATGACCCTACATACGTCTTCTCTCACCCAAGCCCAGTCATGCTAGCCAATACTGTAAATACCGAATTACAGAAAATATCTACCTGGATGATGACTAACAAACTTACTCTCAACATTGATAAAACCTACTTTATTCAGTTTGGAAACAGAGCTACAGATGTCCCTCTTAACATAATGATAAACAGATCACCTATCACAAAGCTCACAGAGGGAAAATTCTTAGGAATCCACCTTGATAATAGACTCAAATTTCAAACACATGAACAACAAATTTCCAAGAAAATTTCCAAGACCGTAGGCATACTATCGAAGAGACGGTACTATGTTCCACAGTCAGCCCACCTGGCCCTATACCACTCACTTATTTACCCCTATCTCACCTATGGAATTTGTGCATGGGGCTCAACAACAATAAACCATCTCAGACCATTAATTACCCAACAAAAGGTTGCAGTCAGAATGATAACAAATTCCCACTACAGGCAGACCACTCCATCAATATTCAAAACTCTAAACCTACTCACTGTACAAAACATCCATACTTATTATTGTACCTACTACATACATAGAACACTTAACTCGGATATAAACACTCCCCTCAAACGTCTCCTTACCAACCTCAACAGAACACATGACTATAACACAAGGCACAGATCACTCTTTGATGTTCCTCGAGTCCATCTCACACTATGCAAAAACTCAATGTACATAAAAGGCCCAAAAATCTGGAATTCATTACCAGTGAATATAAAAGAAACACTGTCTGTTTATAAATTCAAGTCTCTTCTTAAAAATCACCTACTCACCCACAACTAAATACTTAATAACTGTATCTCATAAATGTTTAACCTGTGACCATGTCAAACTTTGCTTGTTTTTATACGTATATACTTCTAAACTGTTGTATTCTGGGCACCTCTGCAAAAACAGTGATTATGTGTGAGTGAGGTGAAAGTGTTGAATGATGATGAAAGTATTTTCTTTTTGGGGATTTTCTTTCTCTTTGGGTCACCCTGCCTTGGTGGGGGACGGCCGACTTGTTGAGAAAAAAAAAAAAAAAAAAAATACTCCAATCAAATCAAATCAAGTTTATTCTCTATAAGGATTACAATGCTGAGTTTACAGAATTTGGATATTGTGTGGTTTACATGTTTTAAAATACTAATTACAGAGGGGGCCACTAGAACACCAAGCATGGCTAGGCATTTCGGGCAGACTTAGATTAATTCTTTACTTTAAAATACAGTGGACCCCCGCATAGCAAACGCCTTGCATAGCGAACAATCCGCATAGCGAACGCTTTGTTCGCTAAAATTTTGCCCCGCATAGTGGACAAAAACCCGCTCAGCGACCTTCGTCCGAGACGCGTCCAATGTGCGGCCTCAGCCAGCCTCACATGTGCCGCCCGTCCCATTGTTTACCAGCCAGCCTCCGCGGTAACATTCAAGCATACACTCGGAATATTTCGTATTATTACAGTGTTTTCGGTGCTGTTTCTGGAAAATAAGTGACCATGGGCCCCAAGAAAGCTTCTAGTGCCAACCCTGTGGTAAAAAGGGTGAGAATTAGTATGGAAATTAAGAAAGATTTTGAAGGGTTTGGGGCTAACCCTGAGAAGCCTATGCCAGTTGTGGAATCCATTGTGCCTACTTCAAAAATTAAGGAAATGTGTGCACAGTGGGTTGAACTGCAAACCTTTATGGATGAAAATCACCCTGACACAGCTGTTGCAAGCCGTGCTGGTGACTATTTCAATGACAATGTTATGGCCCATTTTAGGAAAGTCTTGAAGGAACGGGAGGGTACAGAGCTCTATGGACAGATTTGTTGTGCGACAGAGGTCCAGTGACTCTCAAGCTGGTCCTAGTGGCATTAAAAGAAGAAGGGAAGTAACCCCAGAAAAGGACTTGCTACCTCAAGTCCTAATGGAAGGGGATTCCCTTCTAAACAGTAAGAAGATAATGCTCTCCCCTCCTCCCATCCATCAATCATCACCAGATCTTCAATAAAAGTAAGTGTCATGTAATTGTGCATGCCTTTTTCAGTTTGTGTGTACTAAATTAACATTTTTTTGTGGTAAAAAAAATTTTTTTTCATACTTTTGGGTGTCTTGCACGGATTAATTTTTTTCCATTATTTCTTATGGGGGAAAATTAATTCGCATAGCGAACATTTCGCATAACGACCAGCCCTCTTGCACGGATTAAGTTCGCTATGCGGGGGTCCACTGTATTACAAATTATGAGGTAAATTGGTATTATGGCTAAGTGACTAAATACAGTGGACCCCCGGTTAACGATATTTTTCACTCCATAAGTATGTTCAGGTGCCAGTACTGACGAATTTATTCCCATAAGGAATATTGTGAAGTAGATTAGTCCATTTCAGACCCCCAA